CCCACCACTCCCAAGGAGCCCGAGCCCGCCACCCCTGAGGAGCCGGAGCCCACTAAGCCCAAGGAGACTGCTCTAGTCACCTCAGAGGCCTCTACCCCTACTACTCCTGTGGAGCCTCCCAAAAAGCCTGCTGAACCAACTCCAAAGCTTCCTGCAGAGCCCATACCAAAAGCCACAGAAAACAGCCCCAAGCAGCCTGCTGTACCTACACCTAAAGCTCCCAAAGTGACCAAACCCCAAATGACAACAGCTAAAGACAAGACAACAGAAAAGGAGAAACCTACTACACCTGAAATTACAACAGCTGCACCCAAGATTACAACAAAAGAGACAACTGCAGCTGAAGAGGCTATGGAAAAACCTGAAGAAACAACAGTTATTCCAAAAGCTACAACTACTGATTCTAAAGTGACAACTTCTAAACGCCCCAAACCAACCAAAGCCCCCAGAAAGCCCAAGTCTACCAGAAAGCCTAGAGTGAAAAAACCAAAGACGACACCAACTCCTGCAAAGATGACTACAACCCCAGTGCCTGAAACAACCCCAGCCTCCACAACAGAAACCACGGTCCAGACCACCACCATTCCTATCCCAACTCCCACCTCAAAAATAGTGGAAATAAATCCAAAGGATGAAGATGCAGATGCTGCTGAAGGAGACAAACCTGAGATGATTCCCAGTGCCCCACTGTTAACTCCTATGGGTCGTCCAGGCAGTGAATTCTTAGCGGGAGGACACAATCAAGACATTGAAATCAAACCCATGCTTTCAGGTAACATATAGTTTACTTTTTGAATGGGTAATGTTAACTTAAATCTGAACCAGACTGCCTTCATTTAATATCAGTCTATAGGTAATGTATTATCTAGAGCCCAAGCTTTTATTTAAAATTTGTAGTTTTACAGCTTCTCTGCAGGTAAGTACAGAAGCCATGGGAAACTTACTGGGTCTTTGGAAAGTCCAGTAATAGCCTAATGTTAGAATTTAGTGCATCTGTAAGAAGCAGAGTTGGTGGGTAGAATGTCCACAATGTTTAGCTGGGAGTCTATCCTTGAAAGAAAGTATAATGAAAAGCAAAAATCGGCATTACTTTCTTTTCAAAAATAATTCTGAAGAGCAATCAGAACTGAAAAATGTCATTTCATCTTGAGGTGAAACATCCAATAATTATTTAATTTACAGGAAAAGCAGGTAACTCCATTCAAAGTCAATTTATTTTTGCACCTTTAAGATAGTTATGAATTATATTACTTTGATCACTTCTGTCTCTGAGATATGTAACGCCTCAAACTCTCCCTTGAAAGAAAACTCCATGGGATGTTTTGATAAAAACATTTTCTCCATTTCATTTGATATTCTCCACTTTTGTTTGATATTGGCTTAGTTTTTCTGATAACTTGTTTCAGATGAGACTGATCTGTGCAACGGCAAGCCAGTGGATGCAGTGACCACACTGCGCAACGGGACACTGGTTGCATTTCGAGGTGAGCTACACACATACTTCTTCTCTGCATCACTTTGTTCTTGGCATTTTTGTGAAACTAGAGTAGTAGAGCAAGTCTACTACTTTTGAGTTTTCTGGAGGGAAAGCTCATAGGTCAACTAAGGCTCACATGATTTTATGAGAAACTGAGTGAATTCTCAAAATATTGAAATAGCACACAGGCATATTATGGTAACAATTGAAAAAAAGAGCTTGAACTATTCCTTGGACTTTTCCTACTGTTAGGATAGAGTTCAAATTTTAATTTATCAAATGAAATGACATCAGATTTTGCAGTCCCTGCTATGCTTTATTTGAAAATCTTGATGGCGGCATGTTCAACAGAGAACAACACATAAACATTTATTTCATGTTCTCAGCTGTACTATCTGCTGCTTTCATCTTCTTTAATATAGATTTAACCTGAAAGAAACACTATAGACTCTCCTAAGTGATTTTAGTAGTCATTTAGTTATAATTTCTTATTCTTAAAGGTATACTGATGTCACTTTCTCTAAGCCAAAAAGCTAAAAAGTTTTTATAATTGAAAGTACATATATTTCAAAGGTGATGGTAAATTTCAGTTTTAAGAAATAGCCACTCTCTGGGCCCTCCCTGGTGGCGCAGCGGGTTAAAGCACAGCACTGAGAATCTAAAGCCGCTTCCGCATGAGTTCGATTCCCGCCTGCCCCGGAGGAGACCACATGGCGTGGCAGACCTCTCCTGACCCGCCCGCTGCTCCCCTCAGCAGTGTACTTCGTTGATCTGCCTGTTCTGTTCCCCATTCTGTCTCTGGTGAAGCCTCTCACCGGCCCTGAGCCTCTGGCCTGTACCCCAGTTCTGTATGCACAAATAAATAAATCTTAAAAAAAAAAAAAATAGCCACTCTCAGAAATGTTTTCTGTACTTGTGCTCACAGTTTGACTAATCAAGCTGCTCTTCTTTAAAATGATTTAGTACATTTTCGTTTCTCCCAGGATGGGTTTTAGCATTCACTCTTTATCAGCTGATTTACCACTTTCAATTTTAGGTCATTATTTCTGGATGCTAAGACCATTTACTCCACCTCCTCCACCTAGAAGAATTACTGAAGTTTGGGGTATTCCCTCCCCCATTGATACAGTTTTTACTAGATGCAACTGTGAAGGAAAAACTTACTTCTTTAAGGTAAAAGTATCTTTGTGAGCAATCTGCAACAGCTATTGTATGACAGTGTAATTCAGCTGGACCTCTGCTTCAGAAGAGTCCCCATATTTTTATAAACTAGTCTTTCAAAATTTAATAGCAAGTCTAACTTAACTTGGCAATTAAAGTTAAGCTTTTCTAACACTTGCTAAAAACTTTCTTCCTTTTTATCTGAGTTCCTAACCTTTTCTTTCTTTCCTAATGCCATTACCAACATTTTCTTTTTTATGATCAGGATTCTCAATATTGGCGTTTCACCAATGATGTAAAAGATGCTGGGTATCCCAAACAAATTGTAAAAGGATTTGGAGGACTAAATGGAAAAATAGTGGGAGCTCTCTCTGTAGCTAAATACATGAACAGACCTGAATCTGTGTACTTTTTCAAGAGAGGTATGTGTTAAATAATTGACAAAATGATAAAACTTACGAACTGACATGCCAAGAAAGTGTTATTTAATCATTTATTACTGGATTTACTGTCAAAAGATATCTTTAGTAACTAGAATTAAATATTTTCAATGAGAAATAGAAGTTGAGGGCAGTAAGACATATTTAGCTCTCTTGACATGTAAATCACAATTCCATCTGAGTTTTCAGGTCATCAATACTGTCAGGCAAAAGTAATGTTTATGTAATTTGTTGGCTTTGTTCATTAACAAGTAGTTCAGCATTTTTTCATAATACTCTTCACTAGTAGCCATTATTTATGTAGGGACATGTCTTTAAAAACATTGATCATGTCTGCCACCTGTAAAAATTTTTTTCAATCTTTTCTTGGGAATTAAAAAATAATTTTCTAATAGGTGGTGGTGTGCAGCAGTATACGTATAAACAGGAACCTGCCAGAAAGTGCCCTGGAAGAAGGCCAGCTGTAAATTATTCAGTATATGGACAAACAACACAGGTTAGGAGACGTCGCTTTGAACGGGCTATCGGACCTCCTCAGACACATACCATCAGAATTCACTATTCACCTGTGAGAGTCACTTACCAAGACAAAGGTAATGTTCTGTACCGGATGACAAATTCTTATACATGAAGCAGATGTAATGTGGTTTCTTACAAAGATTTACTGAACACAAATCTGACCAAAAAGCACTGCTACCTTAAGCTTATTCATGTAAAATAATATGCCTCAGTGAATAGTCAAACTCATTACTTTTTTATTGTGGGTAAGGAATAAAGTTATTCAGGTTTGTTAATTATAGTAAGTACCTCTTTGTATGGACATTATTTACAAGCCTGTAATGTAACCCCTTATAAGAGTCTAACAAGCAGACACTTGAGAGGGCAAAAACTGGGCACTGAAGTTAACAGAGCTAACTAAGGCAACCAAATTAGATCAAAACCCAGGTGTTGAGGTTAATAGCTGCTCTTTTCAATATAGTGCACTGCCTTTCAATGTGAAATTTCCAGTGAATTTGTCATCCACAGGTTTCCTCCATAATGAAGTTAGAGTGAGTACAATGTGGAGAGGACTTCCAAATTTGGTTACTTCAGCTATAGCACTACCCAATATCAGAAAACCTGATGGCTACGACTACTATGCCTTTTCAAAGAGTAAGTCAATAAAATTTTAATAGGCAAATATTAATAGCCTAACAAATATGCAAATTTATTCTGAAAATATGCATACTACCAAAACAAAACCACTAAGTATTGAATGGTAACTACAGGGGAGAAGCTAAACTACAATACTAATTACTCAAAAGAGATTTTTCACTTTATCTGCAAATACATTGAGCTGCAGTTTAATTCTGTCCTTTCTTCATGAGATTAAAGCCCATTATGACAAAACATCTGGTTACTTGAGTAAAATTGCTACTGAAAACAACATTCTACCTGTGGCAACAACATTAAATACCTGTGGCATTTAACAGAGGTGTTGTTTGCAACAGTTATACTGATTTGCATCATTCATAGTCTCCAAGATCAGAAAGAAGTTTCTCAGAAACTGTTTTTATTAAACAAGGATTTCCTGGGACACTCTTCTTTGAAAAATTTAGAAATATAAGGCATTCTATCTATATGAATCATGTCAGAATGCCTTTGTTTAAAAAGGATAAAATCCAGTGAATTTTTTTTTTTCAAATTCTACTTTGAAAAAGGAAAGCTTTATCTAATTTTACTGAAATAACATGAAAGGTCAACCATTACAAGCAAATGACTTTGACAGTGAGTTCAAATTAATTAATGCAAGTATTTCTGATATTAAAACAAGTGTCTTTGAACATAATAAACACAAACTATTGTTAAATGCTTGGCTTTCTTTTAACTAAAAAAATGATTTCTCTTTGATTTAGATCAATACTATAACATTGACGTGCCTAGCAGAACAGCAAGAGCGGTCACTACTCGTTCGGGACAGACCTTATCCAAGGCCTGGTACAACTGTCCTTAGTCAAGAAACAAAGGAAGAACAACTAATTAAAATGAAGAAAAGAATAATAAATTTTAACACTGAAATACATTTTATTAATAAAGCATCGAGATGAGCATACCAATTTAAATACAAAAATGTTTTTTAAACTCGACAGTCATCACACAGATTTGACAATCTTATTCACAGTTATTACAGTTCATAGAACATTTAATTAATATTTCCTCTGTTTATTCCTCCTCTCCCTCCCATTGCATGGCTCACACCTATAAGAGATAAAACGGAAGCAAACTGAATACATCTTTTCAGGGGTTAGCTTAAAACTAGAATATTCACTTAACCTAGTTCATTATAAAAATTGTTTCCAGCATCAAGTATCTTGGTACTGCAGATAAAATACCTAGATACTTCTTCAGTAAAAATAACTATAGCAACTAGATATTTTTGTGGCACGAATAAAACAGTTTTTAAAGTAACTAAGTGGTCACAAGGCTTTATTCTGTTGTACAAAAAGTAAATAACAACAGCAGAGATGTAACAAATGACATAGGACTATACCACTCTAATTTTTCTAAATCTTAGTCTGAACTAAAGAAAGAAAAGAGTAAGTGTAAAATACCTACACATACCTATTGTAACTACTTATGGTTTACAAATCTGTCTGTAAGAAATTTACAGATTAGTTAACATCACATGCTCTATGTGGAATTATTTAATCAGTCTTCGGAATATTTTTAAAATATGACACACAGGTTGGAGCTTAAAAACTAGAAAACTTGTTGCATTCATTACTATCTGACATCCTATCATATAATCAATGTTAGAAAATTACCTCTCTGTCTGTTAAACTGACGACCACGGACACCTTGTCTCAATGTTGTCTGAAGCCTCACTCGTCTGAAAGGTTTTGGTTGATTGCTGCTAGTATCTAAGAAAAAGAGTATATAAGAAAGCAAGTTAAAAAACAAAAAAACAGGTAAAATGGCACACAAATTATGAGTGCATGTATAAATATGTAGGTGTTCATTGCTTTCAAGATTGAAAGCATCTTTAACAAAGAACACTTAAACCAAAAGGGAAAAACATAAAACAAATTCAAACATTCTTACTTGAAAAAAAAAAAGTGGTTAAGTAAAAGTACCTTTTCATTCATTCACTCACTAATAAATATTTACTCTGGCCCAAGTATCATTCACTGTGCTAGAATTTGGGAAATACAATGAAAAACAAAACAATCATGTCCCTCAGGAAACAATCCATTACTATATAATGTGAGTCCTATCTGACTCTTCACTGGACACCCAAACCCAATCATTAGCAAATCTCGCCAGTTTTAGTTTAAATAAACCCCCCCAAATCTGATTTCTCCTTATAACCTTAACTATCCTATCTAAAACAGGACTATAGTGGTGGACTTTGGAGAGATGGTAATGGGTACCCTATGGTCAACACCGAGAGACAGAATACTAATGTTACCACAATTAAAAAGTAAACTAACAACAAAGTAGCCTTTAAACTTCAAAAACTTGAAATGCCTAACACTGAAGTTGTTTACAGCAGTAAATTTCACACAATTTTTGAAGCAACAGACCTCTTACCCCTTTACTTTCCCTAATCAAACTTCATAGAATCTCAATATGCAAAACAAATAAAATGGAGCTTCTCCAGTTTAACAAAGGCAGGTCTGGAGTACTACTCCTAGGCATTCTTCCCAGTAACCCAACCACAATTGCCTCTGGCACACATCTAACAGCCACAGAGGTTTACAGAACATATGGTGACAATCACCTGTCTAGATTAAACAGGAGGGACATGGTATGTAATTACACAAAACTAGGAGGTACAGCCTTCCACACATCTAAGTTATATATAGAACCACTGTTTATGTGTGGCTGGTAATTAACTGAAATGCTGTTATGTGACATGACAGTAGTAAGACTTGAAAATCAAAATCACTCCTTATTCTTGGACTGCAGAAAGGATGCTGTACTAGAAATAGATATGAGACAACATTCATCTCCTTATACATTTCTATCAGAACTCTTGAGTGATCAGATATGTAACAATGAATCGTTAATATTTTAAAAGGAATCTTTTCTAAGTAGTAGGTCTCAGCATTGCACTTAAAATATTCAGTGAACAGATGGGTTACTATCAGGCTTGACAGAGTAAAATAGCAAATGTGATAAGTAAGCACTGACTTCAACGTAGTCATCAATTATGTTACTGAAGAATTACTATTTTTATAGATTAGGCTTTAGCTCCAAGGGAATGCTGTGGCTGGTCTGATCTTCAAACTGCTAAAACTCTTGATACCAGCAAGAGTTTCTCTTTCTTATTCATGTGTTCACTAGACTAGCACTTTTTATTATCTTTGCATATACAACTTGGTTAACCATTTGGCATAAGAAGTCCAGCTTTCAGCATACCCTGGATGGTGACTTAGCTCATTTATTTATAGGTTCTGACTTAAAATGAGACTTTTATTTGAGCATTCAGAGGCCATTGTAGGTTACTACTTGACCTAATTTTAATACTATCTGAAGGAATAGGAAGACCCAAGGATGGAGTGGATGGGTACATTGGCTATTAGAGCAGAACAGACAAATACCAATGAAATTGGCCATTTCATATGGGTGCAATTCATGGTGCCCCAAAACAATAACAACATCAAAGATTGCAGTCACAGATCACCGTTACAGATTAATAAAATGTCTGAAATGTGAGAATTAGTGAAATGTGACTGAGCTGCTACAAAGTGAGCACATGCTCTTGGGAAAATGGCACTGACAGCTTGTTCCATGCAGGGTGGCCAAAAACCTTCGATTGAAAGAAATATACAACCTGCAATAACATGAGAATGACTGCTCCTCTAGTAAAAATTCCATTTCAAATTAAGTTTTTAAAATTCAGTAAAAAATAAATTACCACATTATTACTAATACAAGGCTTTGCAAACAAGTCTGATGTGTGCAAGTTGTATTAAAGTCATGAGCAGGACCTTACCAACAGAAGAGCTGGAGGGAGGATCCTGGCTAGTGGAGGGGAGATCTGACTCATCAGATGCCTGCACAGGCTCTTCTTCCTGTTGGCTGTCGATTTCTAGGCCTGCTTCTGAACTAATACTAAGAGAGGGAAACAAAAATTGGTTATAAAATACAAAACCAATCCCAGAAAAGTACCTATTCTAAATTGTTCCCAACTATTTTTGATAGCGTGTCACTTGAATACCCTACCAGTTTCTTTCAACTCAAACTTAAGAGATACTGATGCTGGTTATGTGGTAATAACATGCTCTTTCTAAAGGGGAGGGGCAAAGAAAGTTTCAGTTGGTCTTTCCTTATTCCTCTTCTCACTAGGAAATATTCCAATTTTAGTTTTGCCTTGTTATTTTCCTTTTTGACAAAGGGATGTTTCCATTCTTGATATTCAAAGAAAACATATACAGATTTTGATAAATCTCAAGCAATTCTCTAGGAAAGCAAAGTATTAAAATAACTCACAGTAGTGACAACTATTATTAATATAGCAGTGACTCATGATGGGCCCCAGCCCAGATGAGATAGGTTGTGGGTGTGTGTGTGAAATTCTTGACTCAATGGCTATAATGTGGTCTTTCTCACTCTCTCATTCTAGAAAGCATACTGAAAATCAAGTGAGGGAAATAAATAGGAAAAATATGACTCTGCTCTAGTTTTTATAATTTGCAAACTTAGTACAATTAGTAACAATGCACTGAAAGATGTTTATGATTATGTGCTTAAGTTGAACAGAGTTGAAGGCAAATGTCCAATCTAGTCTGAGTCAGTTACCAGTGGTGTAGTTTAAGTATGTAAGTTATTTTAACATGCTTGATAGTACTCATTTGTAAAATGTAAAATAATACCCTGCAGAGTTATTGTGTGGTCTAGAAATGAACTGCATACTTGCTATGGAATTAAAGGCAGTTAAGAGTCTTAGCAGGGTCTGCAGGCACCCCAAAATTAAGTACAACTGCAGTAAAGCATAGTAATAAACGTGCTATTTTTTCTCATACAGTAGAGTTAGCCTATACCTACTCCAAAAAAATGTTGCTAAATAAAACAAAATCCTTCAGTTCTTCCTAGGAAATTTGATTTCTACTTCTGGCTAACATTTGTGCTCATGAACTAGTCCAATTTTTATTTATTAAAAACTAGGTTTTCAAATTAACTTGAAAGTGAAATTTCTCCCAGATCACTCACTGTCCAGTGTCCCTTCCATTAAATTACTTCTTTTGGCTTAAAAAACATCCAGATGATGTCATGAAATACTTTTTTTTTTAAACTTTATTGTAACTGATGTGTGATAGTTCAGTCAGGTCTTAAAAACTAGTAGAAAGTTTGTAACCTTAAGAATTCAGTATTTCAGGAACCAAATCCAGTACAAACTAAGTCCACTACTAAATGGAAAGTGAGTAATTTCCTAATTTTCACAGAAAGACTTCTTTCTTCGGGAAAAGTTCAAGAACTCCATTAATGGAATGGTACCACTGATTTTAAAGAAATGCTCTGTCTGAAAATGTATCATGTAATTTTCAAGGAAACAATCATTAAAAAAAGTATTTGTCTTCTATAATAACAACTTCCAAGTCCCAAAATATACCACTACATGCAAAAACTAACCTTGGTTTTATTTTTTTGTATTAAGATGTTATTATTGTCTTTTTTCTGGCCAAGGAAAATAAATGTGAAGCCTGGCAAGTCTACAACAAACAAAAATTACAAAATAAACATTTACCCTTCAGATTCTGCCTCCACAAATACTTCATCTCCATCATCACCTGCTGCTGTTTCATTTGTTGTGGATAAAGTGCCAGTGGATGTGGTCACCATTGGAACAGACTGAGACGCATGCTCTGAAGCATCTGAGGTGGTGCTCTCAGTAAATACGGTCACTACAAAAATGAAAAGACCAGAAAAATATTCCAAACCTTAACTTCGTGATTTACCTAATTTAACAAGGTATCTCACAAATCTACATTTTACTAATAAAACATGTAGGCTATGTATCTGACTTTGATGCCTACCTGGGGCTGCCACTT